TATTTTCATTAAGCGTCTCACTCAGTGAGATTTTAATTTGCAATTTTATAAAGCTCAAACACATTTGACAAATGAGTTAAAGTTTCAGACCATGCTTTTTTTAGCAGTTTCTTTCATTCATTTCAATTTAAAAAGCGATGGATCACTCATTGATGATCTAATCATCCTGTTGTTATCTTGAAGAATACACTGTCCGCCTAAAGACCTACACTGACATATTAATAGAAATGCTGATTAAGAAGAGAAGTACACCAAAGGCACAATCTTATGAAACGTGGTCATTTAAAGGTTTGGCTCTAGTTGACTTTAATTATCTAAAGTTCACACCTTTAATGCAATATTAAACATATCATTTCGAGAGAGTATGCAAATCAGAGCCAGGCTATTTACTAGTCAAATAATTTGTCAGTTTATGGAAACAGAGGTGAAACATAGTGTGAAGCTTTGTAAACTGGGTCAAACTGAATTCCTCACTTAGAGACCAGTCACCTCCAGGTTTGTGTGGAAAACATCTCTGAAGATCAAAATACACTAGACTGAGTTGAGGAGAAATCACACTTCAATCACAGCAGTAGCTTCCTGATAATGTCATTTAAATCAAGAAATTGTTCATATCAAAGTGATTTGCATTTGAAGTGTGACCTTTTCTCACACTGGTATATTTTAGTTTAAGAAAATTAGAATTCAGGGCTAAAATGATGATGAGACATATTTAACCAAGGTGTTGAAGATTTACATAACAATAAACCCCACACCACAAGGTTCAGTGCAAGCTGGAAAGTCATCAGAGTCATAGTGCGAACATGAATATACACAGACAGACAAGAGACACTCCCCCAGCCCCGTCTCCACCGGTACCTGTGAGGGATTTAGAGGTGCAGTCCGTTCTTCTGTGGGGACCTGATCCAGTGCCACTTACAGAGCCCTCGTAGCTAATGCAGTCATAACAAAGCAGAGCTGGTCAAGGATAAAAAGAAAAAAATATAAAGAGAAAAGGGGGTGATGAAAAATGGATGGAGATGAAGGGTTGCTGATTTTCTTTATTCAGTTAAAAGGCTTGGCAATTTTTTTCTTCTTTTAATTTGGGGTGCCTATTTATATTCCAAAGCCGTATTCTGTCCAGGAACAGCCCTGTTTGATGTTATGGCTGTGTTAGCCATGCTGAAGCTCCCAAAACACAGCAAATAACACCTGCACCTACATGCACCTGCACAACCAATCATGCTCCCCCCGAGGAGCACAGATATCAACTGTAAGTTTAAACAGAGAGCAGCTGGATCAAAACAGCTGGACACCTGTAAGTGAACTTATCTGGTGTTTAAACACAGGAAGAACAAACAGAAGTGTTAACAGAGTTAAAGCAGCAGTAGCGGCAGAGCCCTCAAGCCTTTCAGAAGCCACAATCACATTTGTTAGAGCTGGAAAAGACAGACGCTTGCATTAGTTCAGCAGAGCAGAAACAGTTTCAGAATATATTGTGTTAAAATCTTGAAGTTGAAACCAGCAAACCCTTATTGAAAAGCAGGTATTGAACATAAAAGCAGATTCACTGTCTCAGCTTTTGACATTATAACTAGAATGCCTTTAAATTAAGTTTAAATCAATTATAATTTCATTTAGGAATAAAAAAGCTTGTTTTCTTTTTTGGTTTCAAGAACAGGTATACAGAAATACAGCATTTTAAATAATGTGGCATTTTTCCTCAAATGTCTTTTTATTCTATTCAGAAAGATACTGTCTTGTTTGAGCTATTTCTTGTGTCACATCTTATGTCAATGGATATTTGAAGTGGCTATGACTGGGTATATTAAAGTCAATCTACTGTTTCTCTGCAGGGATCATCGTACCTGCAAACGCTTTGGAAATCCTCTCTTTCTTCCACTCCCAGGGTTGGTCATACTCCTCTGGAGGTCGTTCATCATCCTGGGGCAGACGGCTTTCTCTCGGGCAGCGCGAGCGCTCAGGGTCCGAGTCGCCGCCGTTCTCGGCTGGTTCATACGGCGTGTCGTACAAGGGCAGCTGCCTCACAGGTCCTTCCTTTGGCACTCGTCCCCCAGATCGGATTTCTATGATCAAGAAGAAAGACTGGTTGTTAATGTTGGGTGCCTGAAATAAATATTGATGAAAATGAGGGGGAAAAAAACAGTGTCTCTGTAGCATATATGAGAAATGTATGACAGTAGATGAACGTACGAGACATTAGAGCAACACATTTTGTAAAATCTTTCTTCTATAGAATGTAATGCGATTAATGGGTGAGGATTTTTATACAGAACATATTTGAGTGAGAGACAAAAAATAACAGTATCAATGATATATGCGATGACATCAGCTCCAGGCTAAACATTTTATTTTAGTGCCAGCTATAAAGACTCTTAGGTTGTATGGGTGGTAATAAACAATATTTGAAGGTCGCCAACATGACACACAATGGACCTAAGTCAAAGTCAAATAATCTCGTTAATTGATTTAATAAATCATGTTGGTGAGTTGTAAATTGTTTAATGAAGCAATCCATTAGCTGCAAGGTGTTGTACAGCATTAACGAAACGGTGAATTTGACCAGGAGCCTCAAGTTTGTTTCTTGTATTGAAGCTGGATGAATCACAGTGATTGATATTGAAGGGTGCTTCTTAAATGAAGTGATAGTTTACAGATGAGAGAAGACAGAGAGGTCAGGAAGAGGCAGACCTGAGAGTAAAGCAAAAAACACACAGACCTTCATGAATTCATCAAAAATCCTAGAACAGCTTTGCCTCAGGCTGCACATGCCTGCTCTGACAGAGCAGAAGTGAGGAGAAGGCACCAGCTTCCTGTTTCTATGTTTCCCACTCACGTCTATGAACATATAGTGCCCCCATAAACCAATTAATGAAAATTGTATTTTTTTAATTATTTCAAAATTAAAAGATCTCCTTGTTCGTCCAACAGTGCTTGAAAGTTGATCTCAGTGCTAATATTCTGTAACTGTCAAAAATTGCAATACATCAACATTGAACATGGAGTTTCATTATGCTTAATGACATTTCTTAAAATCAAAGTGTGGACAGTATTCATTAAATTCTAAATGAGGTCTAAAGAGGGAACTAAACTAAGCATCTAAAAACTGCACGACCAGTCACTAAATACAATAATGTTCATAACAGCCAACTAACTATCCAACAATACACTGATGAAACTGTCCTTTTAAGAGCCTTATCAGTGATGAGGCAAAAATGATTGTGTTGAAGGTGCAACTCCAAAATTAGCCTCCACTGTTTTGATGGTAATCTGTGCAACTGTCATCAACATTTCTAGTTCTGGACAAAAGTGTTGAATGGGCTGTCATTGACAAGCATCAGCGTACTACATCTACAGTGCTGTCAAATTCTGCACGATGGTCAATTCTGACATTATTTCACAAACCCAGATGGAGGCAAGATATTTCCTCGAAAGTAAAAAAAACATAATAATGAAAATGTTGGACTCAGCAGCTCCAAACACAATCTGTCAGCTACTCTGTGGCATGTGTCACTCATCCAAAGATGGGGAGCAAGAGAGCGCCGCGAAGCTCCAAGTCTCTTAATGTAGCGGGGAATGTATCTATCATCGTGGCAGGTGAAAAACTAATGAGGGCATAATGGTGTTTATTTTGACATCTTCACAAGAAAGAGACCTGCCTGTTTTCTTCTTCCTTGATGCAACCTGATGATACAGGCACCAGTTCTCTCTGTTTTAAAAACATTACCAGCTTTCTGGTTTGTCCTTAGATGGAGCTGTTTCTATATATAGAAAATCATGAATATGATTTATTTTTTTTAAACACAGCTCTAAAAAGAAAGCTGAAAAGGGAGATATTCATACTAGATTTGAAAAATCCTTTCAAATTTGCATTTCTGAGAAATATAGAATAACCCGCTGTGGCTTTGTGGTCCTCTCATGTTGCCATTTCAAAGTTATTTTCTGAAAACCTTTTCCTTTCAATTTCCTTTTCATTAGGTTCATAATCTTAAATCTAGTGCATATATCCCTGTTATTGTTTTTCCTAAACTATTTAACATGACTGGACCTTAACTTAGATGTATTCAATACCTTTCATTCTCCATACGGAGAGGTGAAACAGACCTGACTCCTAATGAAGCACCGTGCCCTTGAGAACTCTCTTCCCCCTGTTCCAACTCCTCCTCCTCTCCCCCCCTCTTCAATCTCCCTCCACTCATATGAAGTTGTTAGCAGCCTGCACCCTTCCTCCTGGGCCACATGAAGCTGTTAGCGGCCAGCAACCACCATAGAGTAATGCGATGTGAGGCAAATGAAATATTATGCCACACTACTGCATAATTGCCTCTTAGCCCAGGGGAGCTCTTGCGGAAAAATGAGCAATGCATAGAGCCTAATGGAGCTACCATGCTGGTGGTGGTGGAGTTGGAGGTGGAGGAGCGAGGTGAAGGCGGCTGCCAGGTCCCGTATCTCTGCGTAATCCTGCATTAGGCAAACTGGCAGTCTTTGATGTTGGCAGTTAAAAGACATGGTATTATGAGATCTCGGCATGATAATGTCCTACCTCCCCAGCAGAAGAACAAATAGCTCTTTATAGGGGTAAAATGAGAGAGGGGAGGGGCGGGAGGCTTTCAGGGTGAGGTGGTGAGTAAATCTCGTGGGGAGAACACTTTAATATAAGGAAGCTGCTGTCGATAAACCGCTGCAGTGGATTGAGACTCCTGCTCTTGGAGATAGGAGCCTTGTTGGCTTCCTTCCCGCTGTATGAGTTCTCCTTTCCTTGTAACCTCCCTTCTCTTCCTTGTTTCCTTCCATCCTTGCACTCTTTTCTTTCTGTCAGCTCCTGTTAAAGCATGTTTGCTAGAGTGGGTGGGGACACATCTGTCTAAGCTAATTACAGTGATTGGCATGGCAGTGGGGTTGCATGTTGCAACACAGCTGCAGTCAATCTTCCGTCTTTGACCTCTAGCCTCTGTTTAGGGTGAGAGGTCATGCACCACACCCTCCCTTGATGTGTCTCAAACCTCCCCGGATGTCAGAGTTCCTGTCCAGATTCTGCACTTCCTCTCTTTTGCCTTGGTTGACTTGGCCTTTGCTACCCCTTCATTCATGCCTGTGAAAAGCAACATTTATTTCCCCCTATTTACTCACGCTGGGCAACCAGGAGGAAAGAAGAAATTTCAAGACACCCAATGTTGCTACAAAGACTCTGTTGTTCTTTTAAAGCTCTGGATGTTTCAAGTATTTTAAGCAACAGCAAATCAGCAAGATTGTGCTGCTCTCAACAGGGCTTCAACAGCCATGTAGCGGCAGCAGCAGCGCTGACCACAACCATCTGTTTAGTGCCACTAAAAAGGATGAGTGCGGGGACAGCGGAGCGCACTGTTGAGAACAGCTGCATTCAAGCTCAAAACCATTTCTCCCTAATGAGAAAGGACATAGATACTGGCTGTCATAAAACCTCAGCTGCAGAGCATGCGTCAGTCGAATGTAGGTTTGCACATGCGAGCTAAAACATTTTTAAAAAATCAGAGGAAGTAAAGGAAAAGCGCTAAGCTTTGAAACAAGTGACAGATCCAGTGCCTGTTATCATCTTTCTCTCTGGTTCATGAACTAGAGAGATTAATCCTATGGGAGAGTGATGAATATATTCCTTGCAATAAACCCAGAGAGGCTCCTGTTCCACTTACTACAGGAGGAGCCCTCTGGGCATATTCTAGTGGCTTGTGCAAGGGCAGGAAGAGAGCTCTGGATTAGATCAAGAAACATTAACTGCAACCAACCTGGCAGACGCATCCTGCAGCATATAAATGAGTGACCAGACCATCTAGCCCTCATCATCCAGACCACTCCTGTCTTATTTGCCTTCTTCTATTCTTACCAACCAATAAAAAGTGGTTGCACTTGCAAAAAAAGTAAAAAACAATGACTGTGCTTTTTTTGCAAAGGCTAAAGCTTCTAATATGTAAAACAAAAAACACATTTATCTTTCTCCCCGGTTGACTGCCACCCGCCTACTCATACTGAGCCAGAGAGATGATGCTGCTGCAAAGAGCTTGCAGGGGCACAGTGAATATCTGGATTTGATTGAGGGGATCTCTTCTGCACTACTGAAGGATTAAATGCGATTGACTTTACACTCCAGGAAAACAATGTCCAGGAAATACCCTCAAGGATTTAATGTGTCTGCTCCACCAGCTAAGTCTCATTTAAGGAATATCTTGAACCTGTGTAGCCGTTATCATTTTAGGCAGATTGGCTATAATCAAGGTCGATCTCCACATCACTGAAACCTCTTTTAAAACAAAATTAGCAGATTAGCAGATCTTTTTGATCCCGGGTGAACAGGCTACAAAGGCAGTTGATCCTTTACCATTGCCAGCACCGGAATTTGCCCATTCCATGTAAAACAAACATGCTGGCAACTCAGGCCTTCCTTGTCACCTTGTTGTCTTGCACCACTGTGAAAACAGTTCATGAATGTTCATGACTGTTTATTCGCCATCCTGGAGGTCAAATGCTTAAATGCTAACGTTTGGCCGGAAAAGGTGCACAATCAACATCTAGACTGCAAAAATGAAAGAAGACCCGTTCACCCAGATGTCATGTTTCCATCACTGCTGATGCGAGTCAGAGTCGCTTAAAACCTGTGTCTACTGAGTTTGACCTGGGAGTTAATGCAGACTGCATACATTCCCATTGCAGACAAAAGCCAGATATTAGTGGGGTTTGTGATCAGTATAAATTGAGCTTCAGTGAAATATGTAACTGAAAATTACACATTACACAGACAGAAAAAGATGAATCATTGCATTCTTTACTTAACTCACGCTGAACTGCTTATGACAGCTAATACCTAGATGTACTTCAGTAACCCTACCCTATTGACAATGGCCCAACCAAAGAGGACACACATTTACAAAGGCTGCAGGTTTGATTAACAAAGCCTCCGCAGTAAAGGCTTGTATATAGCAATGACATATTTCTGGGGCTTTGGTTTCATTCTGTTTGATTGCCCAGAACTTCAAAGTGTGAAAAATGTTGATCCAGGGATTCAAACTGTATCAGAGGCCACCCACAGGTATTG